GGGGTATTTCCGTGTGGGTGCTTTCGAGAAGGAATATGCCCAGGAGAGTCCAATAAGAGGGAGGGGAGCAGGCTGCAGAGGGCAAGAAGCCAAAGCGAGAACTGGGACAAGGTTCCAGCCTCTGGTCTTGCCAAGTGTTCAGGAGTACAGCTCACAGCCTTTGCCCTCACCAAGACAAGGGTGGGTCACCAGTTGAAAGCCCTTTAGAAGCGCTGAGGAAACTTTCAGGCATTTTGGCCTTGCCTCTGTTAATCAAATAGCCCCAGGAGCCTGAATCTGCTTTATGAGAAGTGCAGGTGCAGGCAATGAGAAGTGAGAGCACCCAGGAGCCCAGCCATGGCACACAGATGTTCCAGAGTGTCTGAGTGGAGCATCAGTCATGACACATCCATTACTGTGGGCCTGGGGTCTTCACCACGATCAGCTGCGCCACACTGACGTAAAGCCATGGAAAGCCACGGTCTGTGCGTGGTCTCATCTCTGAAGCAGAAACCCTCTGCCTTTTCTTGTTTTCATCACAGTGTGTTTGCAAAATCAAAAGGCAGGGTATGTAGAATCCTGTTGACAAGATGTTATGCAAAGCCAGGAGCTGAGAGTCCCTTTCCCTCATCAACCTGGAGTCTGTATTAGTTCCTGTCTCGCAGGCATCAGAACTGACAGCCTTTGAAAAGAGTTTGTTCACATTAGGAAGAAAGCAGCCACTCTTCTAATGTTGATAAATTTTGCAGCAGTTTCTTTAATATATACCAGCCGCCTTGAAACACATCTAATTAAGCAGCAGATAGCTTACTGGGACTGCACTTGGCTTTGATGTGCTCATCAGGGTTGGGAGGGAAGTATTGGGAAGCTAATCATAATAGGACTAGCTCTTATAAAATGCCTTTTATCTTCAAAGTGGTTTACAACCACTAATTATTAGAGGAATTAGGGTGAATAGCAACCATCTTGGTGAGACCTGAAGCCATTAGCTGGGGTCTTTAATGTATCATATAATAGTTCAGGGGAGCGTGGAGGGGGGTGTTTAATAACAGCTGTCCAAACCTGGAAGAATTATTTCATAGAGGTAAGACAGCTGTTCCGTGTCTCCCTGGAGGCTAGAACATGGAAATTGGACCTAATTTGCGGAGAAAGGATGCTGACTGGAGGATTGCATAAGCTACAGCTGGCTGCCAGAGGGAAGATGGTCTTATCAAAGGTGGCTGTAGACACATGACCCTTTTGGGGGCTGGTCCCTTCCTGGTGGTCTGGTGTGGGTGAGGTCACGTCACCGTGTTCCATCCATCTGGAGAGTCTGTGTTAGACTAATGACCTTTGATTTTTTTTCTTCATGAGCTTGCTCTCTGTCCCTCTCTCTGTCATATGAGAGGGGACGAAATGAAAGCCCATGAAGATATCTGTGACTGAATGAGAAATGAGAACCTTCCTCCCGTAGTCGTGGACACTTAAACCCTTGCTCCCCAGGTCCTCAGTTGGTGGCACTGTTTGGGAGGTTTAGGAAATGCAGCCTTGATGGAGGAAGTATGTCACTTCGTCACTCCGAGATTAACAAGCCTTCACTGCTTCTGGCTCTCTCTCTCTCTCTCTCTCTCTCTCTCTCTCTCTCTCTCTCTCTCTCTCTCTCTCTCTCTCTCTCTCTCTCTCTCTCTCTCTCTCTCTCGTGCTTACGATTCAGGACCTGAGCTCTCGGCATCTCGATCCAGCTGTCACCCCCGCCTCTTTCTACCTTGCCTCCCCACCATGGTGGATTCTGGAATCGTAAGTGAAAATAAACTCTCCCTTCTTTAAATTGCCATTTTATACCAGCAACAGAAAAGTTACTAATTTATATACTATTATATATGTGTGTACATATTAATACGTGTGTGTGTGTGTGTGTGTGTGTGTGTTTCATTAGTTTGACTTACTAAAATACAACTGAGGTGGAGGAAGCCAGTTTGATTTCAACAACATATGCCACAAATCTGTTCTCTCTCTAGATGATAATTTTTATCCCCAGCACTGCTTGCCCTGTTTCCTGCATTTTACAGACGGGAAAATAAATTGTGAAGGTGTCACCTAACTCATTGATGGGGGCAGGATTTGAACCTGGGACAACTTGGCTCTCCCCATTCTGCTGTGCCACCTCCCAGAAACTCAGGTGTGATTGTCACTTCACCCTTAATTCTCTCCCCAGCCAAGAGCAGGGAGAATGAATGCGTAGTCTGTCATTTGACAAGAACTGTCTGCTTTCAGCCACGTCACCTCTGAGCTTATCATTGAGAACCCCACTGCACATGGGGTTCTCCTCCCACTGAAACCTGGATTGTTCAAGAGATTTGAATTGCTCTCAGGGATCCTTTGGAGCTTTGATCTTCTAGCTGCAGAAGGGACTCAAGAGGAAACCAGGTGACTTAGTGGCCACCTTCAAGTTGGCAGCAGGTACAGTGGGAGAGAAGTAGCCACTGAAGCCAGATTAAGAGAGAAATTCGCTTTAACCCCCCCAGGAGGGATTTGGGTTTGATCTACAAACTTTCTGATTGCACAGTTAAGCTGTTAGAATTCCTCTGGATAACAGAAATCTTCCTAGAAATGTTTAAGGACTGGATAATTTCCATCTGCATGTGGAGTGGTCTTATGGGATTGTTCTGGAGGAGAAGAGTGGCTCAGAAAGTCAGCGACAGGCAGGAACAAAGTGTGATCAGCTGGGGGATGTGTCTCAGGGGGATGTGCTTAGCATGGCATGGTCCTGGGTTTTGTCTTCAGTCCGGAGGAAAGAGGGAGGGAGGGACGGAGGCTGGAAGGCAGGAAGGAGGGTGGAACTTAGCCTGTCTTTTTGTGACTGTACTGTCTGTTGATCTAATGAAAAAAAATCTTTTAATTGCAAGCATTACTATTGTGTGTGCCTGTGTGTGTACAAATGCCTCTATATGAGTATAAAGGTCAGAGGACAGATTTAAGGAGTCAGATTTTCCTTTCTACCTTTACCTTGGTCCTGGAAATTAAATTTGGGTCACCAGACTTGCATGACAAGTGCATTGACCCACGGAACCATCTTACCAACCCCTCTAACAGCAAATCTTGGAGACAAGAACCCTGTCTGCCTCCAAGGTCAAGGCTTCCTTGGGCTCTCTCCAGGTGGAGGCAGCTGAGCTGAGAACAGGCATTCTCCTTTGCTTTGGGATGGAAGCAGCAATGTTTCCACTGTTTTGTCTCCTGCTGCCTTTGGAAAACCCAACAAGCTGTGCAAAGATTTCAAGTCAAGCCAGGCTCCTCAGGGGAAGGGAAAGACGACTGGACAACAGAAGATAAGTAGCCTTTCCCAGGAGCTCTGCCCTATTTCTGTGTGTTTAGGGCAGAGATTCTCAACCTTAGGGTCAAATATCAGATGTCCTGCATATCAGATATCCTCTATGATACACAACAGCAGTAGAATTACAGTTGCAAAGTAGCAATGAAGTGATTTTATGGGTGGGGGGTTACCACAACATTTGGAACTGCACAGTCTGGAGGTTTCCACTGGGAAATCACTTATGTTCAGTCATTTTTCTACTTGAAAGAGTTAAATGTCAAAGGGTTCTGGGTTAAACACAGCAGATTGAGGCTTGTGATCCAGAGCCACAGCTGACCCAGGTTCTGTTCCCAGCAGCTCACAACATCTGTAACTTCAGTTCTAGGGGATCCAATGCTCTCTTCTGGCCTCTATGGGCACTACACAAATATGATTTACAGACATACATTTAGACAAAACAATCTTACACATGAAACTGCATTTTCATATACATATGCAATAGACTAGGCTATATTGTTTAGGCCTGAGGGGGAAGAAGAAATGTAGTGGTCCCAGTACAATCGTAATTCTTCATCTTCCTCCTCCTCCTTCTCAATACACTTGTAGATTTGTGTGACTATACATAAGTACATACATATATGTGTATGATGTGTGTGTGTGTGTGTGTGTGCGCCCATGAATGCAGTCAGTCTTCCATACATGGAGGCTCTGTATCCAACTGTACATGGGTGTGCTTTGAGCAGTTGTAAGTTTTTTCTCTAGAATATATAGTGTAAGAACTGTTTACATCACACTTACACTGTGGCAGACATTCCATCTCCAGATGGCATGTGGTTGGAGACAGGTGTGGTGATGCACATGGAAGACTGAGGCAGGAGGATCACAAACATGAGGTCAGCTTGGGTCACACCATGAGGCCCTGTCTTGCATAAATAAATAAAAATATATGGTAGGATATGCATGAGTTATATATAAGTACAGCCCATTTTGTATAAGGAACTTAAGCACTCAGGGATTTTTGAGCAGAGTGAGGAATATGGAGCAATCTCTCGGGGACTGAGAGACCACTATGGATCAATGAATAAGTTAACAGATCCGTGAGTTTGTCATGGATTCACACGTTGCACTCAGGAAATAAAGGCAGTGATCATATCTGTCCACATCCCAGATCTCCCTTTTCTCATCCCTCCTCATCCTTTATCGCCTTTCTGTCCTGCTTGTTTCCATTTTCCATAAATGTGATCAAAATAATGACAAACTTGGACAACAGCTGTCAACGAATCTCTGTAAGTGAATCACGTGACGTGCATTCTTCCTTGGCTTCTTGTGTGACTATTTTGAAATCTGTCCATTTTTGTTACTCAAGATCCAGTTCATTGCCCATTTTTTTCTGAGTAGCTTCTGATGTGCTCACACACTACAATTTGTGTGTCCAATCATCTCCGTTGGTCTTGTGTAGCTATTTAAGTTTGGAGAGTGTAGGGCACCCTCTAGCCCAACCTTTTCAATCTCCATGTGTTTCTCCCCTCTCTCCTGATTCTCTCTCATTTGACAGACAGGCTGATCTCTCAGCTATCCCTGTAAAGCACACTGGTCCTGAGCCCTGATAATTAGAGTTGGCTGCTAAGAGAAGTCAGGACATGCCAGTGACTCCATATTTCTCCCTTCCTGCTCCTTTTTGGTCTTTCTCCACCCTAATCATACACTTCTCTTTCCCACCTCCCCTGTTCAGGTTCTGAAGAGCCACAGAGAAATCTACAGGTCTGATGGCCACCCCCAAGGGAAGGGAAGACTCCAGCTCCGAGATACCAGGTCATGGGTGGCAAAAGAGTGGCGCCTGCGCAGAGCGTCTGGACCACCCCGAGAGGTTGGAGGCAGAGGAGCAGGTGCCAGACCAGGTTGTCATGTGGAGGAAAGCACAGGAATTCTTCCAGACATGTGACTCTGAGGGCAAAGGCTTCATTGCCAGGACGGACATGCAGGTGAGAGGAGTCCCCGCTTTGAGCTTCACATGGGCTACCGCCGCCAGTACGTACTGTGTACAGATCCTGGTCTCTGTTCAGCTAATACCTCTTGCCTGCTGTTGGGCTGTATGCCTTCCCTGGTTCTACCCCAAGACTACAGGACATGGTGGTAGTCGCATGGCGGGCTTACTATATACCACATGGGTTTGAGGATGTGGCTCACCTGATAGAGTACCTATCTAGCTAGCAGTGATGAAGCCCGAAGTTTAATCTCCAGCACCACATAAATCTACATGAATGGGGTGTTGTGGCACATGCCTGTAAATCTAGCGACATAGGAGGTTGAGGCAGGACTGTTGGCTCAAACCCAATGGGTAGCTCAGTGAGATCTTGTCTCAAAAATAAAGTTAGAAGGAGATGGGGATGTAGTTCAATGTTGGAGCACTTACCTAGCATCTCAAAGGCTGCTAGTTCAAGTCCTAGTACTGAAAAAAAGTCACTTATGAAATGACCTTTAAATTTTATACAATTTCTTATGTGTCACTTGTTTTGTCTTTTTTTTCCCTAGCCACTTAAAAATGTAAAAACCATTCTTACTTCACTGACCATACAGACCTAGGCAATGACAGGGTTAGCATTAGGAGTATCATGCATAGGACACTGCTGCCTTGTTCCTCCATCCCTGTGTCCTCTAAGCCTCTCCCTACAATGAAATGGTTCATTCCCAGAGGTTGAGAAGGCCCAGTCTATACCAACCAACCTCCTAAAGCCAAGGACATCGCAGTCTGTCATGGGATGGAGACAGATACAGGCTCAACTCTCCCAATGATGCTCAGAATAGCTGAGCCACACCACAGGCAAGAAACAGGTCTGGTCAGACTGCTGTGGACACCCAAAGGAAGAGGGTGTGTGCACTTCTGGCCTTAAAGATGGCTCTCTTCCAGCTTCTTCTCCAATGTGAGTGTCACTCGAGCATGGGTGAACTGTGTAACCTCATGCTCGGTGAAGGTGGCTGAGCCTGTCTGAAGACCCTTCTCTGGTTCACACATCTGCAAACTTAGTATGGCGCCCATGTGTTCATGTGCACACAGGCAGGTGTAGAGGGTGAAAAGCCGCTTGAGGGTCCTGCTGACCTTGGAGTCTCCTTCCTGATCCTTTTCCAGCTAAAATATAATGGAAACTATCAATTTTCTGCCAGATCCAGCAACCTGAAGCTCACTAGAAAGGGAAGAAATCTAATCCCGAAGAAAGCACTGGGATCTGGCTGTGATAGGAGCCAGGGAAGTTTTATCCTACCTCTAGGAGGGGATTTCTTTCATTTCCAATGGAGCAAATAAGTTTCCTACTTGCAAGACCAACACTCCCCCACCCTGAATTCTCTTCCTGTGGTTCTTGCCACAGCTGGTTTATGGACTGTTGATGTCTGCTAGAGTCTTTGCACGCACTTTCCCTCTCCTTCCTTTCTTGAAAAACTTACTCATATCTAATTCAGTTCTTCCAAATGGCTTTCCCATTAGCCTCTCTTCCCACTTGGTAACATGTGCTAAATGCCAGTGTTAATGCACAGACCAGCCAAATGATGTTTTATGGTTCATGAGCTGAAAGACCACGAGCCAAGCGCTGCCCATGTGTGTCATGGGCTGTCACACCTGCCGACTCTGACTGTCCACATCTCTTGAGTCCCTTCCTGCAAACCCCTATGCTTGCTGGTTAAGGCTGTCAGTCACTGGCACGGGAGTGGCTTGTGCAGCCGGCTCTTGAGTTCCTGAGGAGAAGGCAGGCCAGCTCTGAGAGGTAACAAGTCTCTTGGGGCTCCTCACTTGGAGATGGGTTGTTAGGTACAGGAGGACTCTTGCTTTGGCCTGGGGCCATTTCGCACCAGACAGACAGATGCTAGTGGGAAGTGTCAACAGCTCAGCTACCTCGTTCCTCATGCTGTCAGTGGGTGCATGCTCTAAATCTCCAAGGCCCTCCCCAGCGACCTACCTCCACCAGCTAGATCTCACAACTTCCTGAAACAACACCATCAGTTAAGGAACTAAGTGTTGAATCCCGTGAACTTGTGGGAGACATTCAAACCAGAGCCAAAGGGGACAGTTGTGTGACACTGTGTGCATGTGGTCACTTGAAGTTAGGAGAGGATTTACCCAACATCCTCGGGGCTAAAGAACCAAATCTGTCCACAACTGCTTACGAGAGTAGTGCGGGGCCCTGGGACAGAAGACCTCCACTAAGGGAGACCCACATAATAGGGGAGGTAGCATGGATGAGGAAAGGGGGTACCCAGAGGAAAAGACCATGATGCAATGCCATCAAACCTGGCTTGTCGGGGTGGCTGTGTGAACCCGTCTCTTCCTCTCTCTGTCCTTTCCCGCTATTATTCATTTATTTTTGTACTAAGGGACATACCTGGGGCCTTGTGCAGGCTACATAAGTTCTCTACAATTCAGCTACATCCTCAGCCTGTTTTTACTTTTGATTTTGAAACACAATCTGACAAAGTTTACCCAGGCTGGCCTTGAACTTGGCATCCTCCTGCCTCAGCCTCCCAAGTAGCTAGGATTACAGGCCTGCGGCACCAGGCCCCTAATACCCCTCCTGCTTTGACTGAGTGGTTTCCAGATGCCGGACATTGTGTCCTACCTTCCCATCTGTGGTCTCACTTGGATTCAGAGCACCACATCCTCTAGGAATCTATCTAGAGCTGCTCAGTCCTTGTCAGTGCTAAGAGTGCCAGCTTTGAAGTCAGACCTGCAGTTGACTCCTTGGCTATATGACTCTGGGGCTGGCAATTTAGCTTTAAATGTCATCTTTAAAATGGGAATAATAATGAGAGTTCAATGCAAACTGATACACACATACATATGTTTCTTTATAAATCATAAAGATGCATTTGTTGGCACCCATCAAAGGGTCCCTGCAGAAATATGAAAGGGAGGACAGTGTTTGTGGCTTTGGCAGGCCTAAGCTAAGCTCTAGACCCCCGTGGCCATCAACACGCTGACGAGTGTGATCTGGATTGCTCTCAGAGGTTGCATAAGGAGCTGCCGCTAAGTCTGGAGGAACTGGAACATGTGTTTGATGCCCTGGATGCTGATGGTAACGGCTTTCTGACCCCAGAGGAGTTCACCACTGGATTCAGTAAGTTCTAATGGGTGCTGTGGACAGGGCCGGAAGCCTCCCCGCAGCTGTGTGACACATATTCCTGTTCCCTCCACCTCTTTAGGACTCTGTCTCCAGAGCTTCTCTGCTCTTCCCTTGGAGGTGCAGAGACAGAAGTTAAGAGAGAAGATTATTGGGCTCTTTTCATAAGCCTGCCTTGACTGTTCATACCATGGCATCCTCTGTGCCCATGGACTGTCACTGGGCTCGCATGTGGGAACTCGCATGTGGCAGATTTAGCATCAACAGGAAGCTGTGTCAGGATTTTCAGCCCCATCTTTCCAGCCTTGATAGACAAAATAAGCAAGCAAAGGTGTGTGATAACAGGATAGCTCAGCCTAAGTCCAGCTAAGAGGTGGCAGCTATCAGGGAAATTCCTAGGTTTGAATAGTACAGTCATTCTCAAGGTCCTAGGAGGAAAGAGAACTAAGATCTGGGAGTATGATAAAGAAGCCAGATCCTACCTCCAGATGAGATGAAGCAGCAGGCCAGTTTCTCCAACTCTCTGCTTCCTGCAAAGGTCCGTGTTATTTCCTTAAACAAATTGGATGCCTTTCCTGACCTCCTGGAGCTTTACATTGACTTGAGAGGATGGAACACATTGCTGTCATGGCAGCTGGCATGAACATCGAGAAAGTTGCCTATACATGTCCGGAGGTGCTGACGGTGGGGACAGCAAGGCAGAAAGAGGAAAAGATATGCTTTTCTTCTTCTTCTTTTTCTTTGGTGGTAGTACGTGGGCTTGAACCCAGAGCCTTGGTTATACTAGACAAATGCTCTACCACTGAGCTACATCCTCCAAAGACATATGCTCTACACCTCATTTTAGAGATCCACAGAGTTGTCAGCCTACTTCCCAGACACTATCTCAGTCTCTGGTATCTCTGTGAGAATGCAAATGGAGTATAATCTCCAGATGCAGCGACCATGATCTTTGCTATAGAGGGACCCTTTTCGCCTCTTTAGAGCAAACTTTGCAGGATTCCCAGGAAAAGAAGAAGCCAAGTCCTTCCGGGATTAGGAAGTCTAATGCAAGTCCTTTCTCTCTATTCTCCTAGGCCACTTCTGCTTTGGTCAAAGTAGCCAAAGGGAGGAGGAAGCTGGCAAGCAGGTGGCCGGCCAGCTCCAAGAGGAGAAGGTGTACCAGTCTAGGGGGAATGACGGTGTGGAAGGCACCGAGCATGACGAGGAAGCACAGTTCCAGGTGCTGATGGATAGACTTGGAGCCCAGAAGGTTTTGGAAGAGTAAGTCCATGCTGGGCTCTGCCCAGTCCTACTCACCCCTCTCCTACGCTCTCCACCATCCTCACTTCCTGCTGTTTATGTCATCATCGCAGACCTTGGGTGCCCCGTGTCAGAGATGGCTTGGATATGTGTCCATGCAGGCTGGGAATGGTTTAATGATTGGAGGGAGAGTCATGCCTTCAGGAAGGGAAGGGCTCAGGCTGGCAAGTGATCCGGCAAGGGCAGCAGAGAAGCGTCCTGTTCATAAAAGATCAGTTTCGTGTCAGGGGAGAGAAAGGCTGGTGAAAGTGTGTGTCAGGCAGGAAGGAGCCAGGCTGAGGCCCAGGAGGGAGTCTGGCTGGTGGAGGAGGATGGGTAGGAAGTAAAACTTGCTACCAGCAGCAGGGCAGGAAGGTGGGCTGTGAATAACCCAGAATGAGTCTCAGGACATAGGCAGGCACTGGGGGAGCTCACTAGTCAGACTCGTGACTCAGCTTCTCCTAGGACAAGAGGCTAGAGGCCAGTTACCACTGCCAGCGACTCCATAAAAGCCTCCTGCTGTAAGAAGAGGAGGAAGAGGGCAGTGCCAAAAGCAGGCCACTGTCACAAATAGCAGGGACTATCAGCCACCTTCCTGAAGGACTCTCAAGTCAGTGCTCACTAGATGTCACACTGAGATTTTTTTTTACTCTTTTGGTCTTTGAGAGCCTGCTACTCAGCTCTCAGATAAATCACACAGTCTTATTCTTTCTTATGAATAACCGGACTTGGCTTATTTCTAGTCAGCTTTTCTTAAATTATTCTATCTTTGCCTCTGGGATTTTACATTTCTATATTTCTGTATATCTTTTCTTTCCTTACTTTGTGGCTGGCTGTGTTGCTGGATGGCTGGCCCCTTGAATTTTCCTCTTCTCCTTTTCTCATTCCTTGATCTTCTCTTCATAGATTTCTCCCCCTGCCAGCCCTACCTATCCTTTCTCCTGCCTTGCTGTTGGTCATTCAGATCTTTATTAGACCAATCGGGTGTTTTAGACAGGCAAAGCAACACAGCTTTACTGAGTTAAACAAATGCAACATAAAGGAATGTAACACATCTTTGCATCATTAAATATTACAGAGCATAGACAAATGTAACACATCTTTAATATTTCACAACAATGAGGACCATGTCGAATGCCCATGTAGAACTGATATAAAATGTAATGCCTGAAAGATGGTTTCTAGAATGGCTTATAAAGGGCAGCAGAGAAGTCAGTGACAGCTCCCTTCCTCACTGACGAGTTCACTCTGTAACCTGAGGGCATCTGTTCATGATAGCATAACCCCAGACAAGAAGCATAGCAGGTTGGAATGGTTTCAGAGCTGTCTATTGCTCAACAGAGCACGTGTGGGTTATTATAGAAGTACAGAGGTGGACTGGTTGACTTTGTTGGACCTCTCTAACCAATACTGCTTAGTGGTACCACAAGAAGTAGCATCCAGAAGTGGGCATCCAGACACACAGCTTTTCTTTGATTTTACTAATGAATGGGCTATGACTTTTCATCACAAGTTGAAAGATTTGGCCTGCGTTCATTTCTTTCATGTTGCTGTGGCCTGATGGAAATAACATAAGAGAAGGAAGATTCGTTTTGCCTGGTGACTTCAGAGGGTTTCAGCCCGTCATGGCAGCGAAAGCATGGATGGAGGACTGATGGATAGACGGGTGGGCAGGTGATTGGACGGTCTCAGTGAATAGGCAGATGTTTGAATGGGCTAGAAGCAAGAAAGGATGGAAATGAAGGACCAAGGGGAGGAAGAAGAGAAGGATGAGTGGGATTGGGAGGTAATCGTTCACTAAGTGGAAGCGGATTCAGCCAGCTGTAGTTGTTTCTGTTGGATACAGGGAGTCATATCTGCGCCATGAGAACACTACTGACATGACCCGACCCAACATCACTTCTGAGCAAATCTTCTGAAATGTAGTGTTTACAATGGTCTGGACGATTTTCTTCTTTATCCTGAGAGTGCCTGGCCCTGCTCTCTGATCATATTGGCTTTAGGATTTAATGGGGGATAAGTCAGATTTGTGCTTTGTGTACTTCAATCACAGCTGCAAATATTTGAGTGCGGAAAGGGAGAGTGAGGCTCACACCTGCAGCTCCCCACATTGTCTTCTTGGTGACTGGCTCATCATGGCCTGTCCCTCTGCTGCTCCTTTAGGTGAATAGTCACCCCAACAAACCTGTATCTGGGTGATTCTTGTGACCTGTCACTCCACCCCTTCCCTGCACACCTCAGAGCCCGACTTCCCACTTGTCTGTCTGTGTCTCCACATCCTTCAGACTCACCCTTTCCCTTCCTTTCCCTGCCAGCCCCTCCCAGTGCCACCAGGCCCCAGTGGGGTGCTTCGTATTTGCCCTCTGTCTCTCAATTACATTCTACCATCCGTACGACAGCATGTCTACCTCTCAGCAGTGAGGACACCCTCCCCGGGGGTGACAGTCTCTCTCCAGCTCTCAAGTTGGCCCTACCCAACCGCCTCCAGCCCCCTCTCACTACTCAGATGCTGGCAGGACATTGCCATGCACACTCAGTGTGTCCAATCGATCATGAGCATCGCAGAGGAAGGAAGCAGGTCAGGGAGACATCAGCACAGGAGGAGTCAGGCTGCTGGGCATGAGCCTGCACTGTCATTGCACCAGGGAATGGCCGTGGCACGCCACAGCTGCATCTCAGGTCGTAGTGAGGATGAAGGCAGGCAGTGCGCAGCAAACACTCTGTGCCATAAACTCTCGCTGTTGCTATTTTTAAGGTGGCTGGGACGGTGTTTCCAGCTGTTCACTCCCCTGTCTGGAACCCCCGTGTTTCCCACAGGACCTCACTTACCCACCTCTCGTTAATGTCTTGTCCCTCCCAGTGAAAGTGACGTCAGGCAGCTGTGGCTGCAGCTGAAGAAGGATGAACCTCACCTGCTGTCCAACTTCGAAGACCTCCTCACCACAATCTTTGCTCAGCTCCAAGAAGCCCACGAGCAGAAGAATGAACTGGAGTGTGCCCTCAGAAAGTAGGTGCCCATCTCTGCCCGTACCGGATGTGCTCTTCCTCTTGTCTTTTTCATAGGCTCATTAAAGGATGCTTCTTTGTCACTATCCCAGAGAGGGTCAGAGTGCCATGGCTAGCATGGTGTATCTGCTTCTCAGTCCCAGCTCACCCTTATTAAGCACCCTCTGTTTGCTGCAAGCTATTCTAGATGCTTTATGCACACTATCTCATTTGATAGGAACTATCCACTATCACCCACATTCACAGATGAGAAAATAAGACTCAGAAAGTAACATGCCCAAGAATGCACAGCTTGTAAGTGGTGGAGGCAGGATTCAGGGATGGATATAGTCCAGAGCCCCAGACAGGAAGAGAAGAACACTCCACCTGTAGGCAGTAAGGCCCTAGCACACTTGTATTTGAACACGGTGGATGTCAAGAGAACATCTAGAAAGCAAGTGATAAAAATTAGTTTTCTTCCTGACCCCAGCACTGATAGCTTGGTTGAATGGAGTCACAGCAAAGACAGGTGCCCCCCCACAGGGAGATGCTTAACTTGTTCCCTAAGGGTGATTGCTACCTAAATATTTGGAGGGGCACTTGGCCTGCCTGACTCATGCTGTCACAGACAGGGCCTCCTCTGCTGGCCCCACTCCTGCAGGGAAAGGCAATCTTGCCATGCTGCAGGGCCTCTTAGCCTGGCAACCATCTGAGAGTGGCTGCAGGAAATGCTCAGGCCCTAATTGAGTGATTGCTTTTAACATTCTTGAGATGAAAGTTGAGGGCACTCTTGGCCACATGTTCAAATCCATCTCATTCCCTTCTTGGCCATCCCCTGCCTATAGCCCCGCTGGCCGAGGCTGATAATGGCTGGCTCCTGGAGTTGGAGGGTGGCAGGAGGGGCTCTGATGTCTGCCAGTCTCACCCAGGGGGACTCTCTGGCCGCAGGACCAGAGAGCTTCAGGTAGTAGAAGACCCATACAGGACAGAGGAAGAACTGGAGTTCTTGCCCGGGTCTGGCCACTTACAAGCTGTGTGACTAGGAGCGACTTGCTTTACTTCTCTGTGAATGGGCTTTGTGTTGCCAGCATGTGTGAATGTGTTGAGAGTTTTTCAGACCTTTTCCGATTGTGACCTACCATAAAGAAGAAATGCATTGTCTTTGCATTACCTGCTCATTTGTATGTATGCTGAAAGCCAAGTTTCCTAAGACGGCTCACACTTGTGTCTCCTGGGACAATGAGATTTTCTATTAGAGACTTCTAAAAGTCTCATTTATCCTATTAAAAAAATCGGTCACGCCTTGTCAGTGGGCCAGATGGTCTGTAAGGCACCATGTGATCCATAACCTTGGCAGCTCAGAAATGAGACAAGAAACTGGAAATGGGGTGTTGAGCTCCTAAATGGTCTGCCCGCAGATGACACAAGGTGAGGCTTCAAGCTTGGAACCTGTTAGGGGAGGGTGTGTCCAAGCTTTGAAGCAGGAAGTAGGTCCAGAGAAGGGAAGGGTTTTAGAAGGAAGATGGAGCCAGAGCCTCCTGGAATCCTGCTGAGCTGCCAGAATGTGTTTCCAACTCTGCCAGGCTCCAGTCCAGGGCAGGTGAGACATTTCATTCCATCTGAAATGATCGCCTGTCACAGAGGCTGGAAGTGACAAAAACAAGTCACGGCTGCTCTGTCCCCTCGACGTTTCCAACCCTGGACTGACTGACACATGTGTTACCAGTGGGTAGCATTTAATTAGCACTTCCTCTATGCCAGGCTCTGAGTTAGTCACCGTCCCTGAGGAGTGCACGGTCACTCCAACCGGGCAGATTTGGGAAAGCCCTGCCCAACACTGACCAGGAAACCCTGACTGAAGCTTGGGGCAGTATGGCCGCAGGCATAGATGGTTTCTGCTTCTTCTTCTCTTTGTAGGTTTCACAGCTTGCTTCTTCCTCCATTGGGGCCCAGAGAAAATGGGGCTGACTCCTGGGGTAGTTCGGTCTTCCTCTGGCTGGTTGAGGCACACGTTCCCCGTTCTCAGCTCCACAGGCTGGACTGGAAGCCTTGGGTTGTAGCTTTGCTACAGTGACTGGAAAGTGTCCTCTCTGCCTCACATCCTTTCACAGGTTGTGGGAGGGAGAGGATGCCCCTGGAAGAGGGCATGCTCAGGAAAGCACTGACAACAGAGGGCAACCCCAGAGTGTGCCAGGGTGTTGTTAGAAACCAGGGCCTGCCTCTCCTTGTTGCCATGGATATAGTTGAAATAGACGTGTCTAGAAGCATCCATCTCTTACGGTGTTTGCGTATCCATTGGGAAGCTGACATCAGTCCCAGGAGGCTGGGTGAAAGATGATCAAATGCAAGAGCCCGGGCCCTGCCTAGTGTTCAGTGAGAACTACTTCCTCTGGGCCTCGCTTTTCTCTGAGGATGTGGGTGTGCCATGATACCTCAGCTGCTGTGTTTCTGGAAACTGAGGGAACTGTGCATTCTAGCATAAGGGGTTCACTGGCAAGAAGCCCGTGATTAGGAAAGAAAGGCTGATTTGGGCTCATGGTTGGAGGACCTACAGTTAATTATTGGGAAGGAATGACTGAGTAGGTGAGCAATGACTTATTCTCAGCTCAGTAGACCAGGAAACGTACACTCACACACACACACACACACACACACACACACACACACACACACACAGGTATGGGGTCAGGAAGGGAAGGAGGGAAGGCAAAGAACCAAATCCAAAACGTGTAAGTCTGTAACCCCTAAGACTCATCTCCTAGCCCTCCACATCCACCTAGCCACACCTCCTAAAGGACCTACAGTGCTACCAGCTGGGTTTCAAACCCACAAGCTTGTGGGGGCATTTTATAACCATAACATAGTGAGAGCTATAGATTGTTAGCTGTGTGGGAGAATTTCTAGCTGCCGGAATTAGGAAGTTCCTGGCCGTGGAAAGAGTTCTCTGCACTCACCCTTTTCTGGAAACAGAAAGAAGCTAGCAGTCTCTAAAGGACATGGAGCAATGAGGCTAGTGGAGCTTCGTGGGTTCAGATAGGTTTGTGAGTCATGGGGATGTCAGGATCCCATCTCAGGGTGTCTAGGCCACTTGACTGTGGGTAAGAATTTGAAGTCTATGTTTTTTACTTTTATTTTTAACCAGGCTGAGAATATGTCATATTTTCCTGGGGAAGACCTTAAGCTTCCTGAATGTCAGAGGCCAGCAAGGCTGACCTGCCAGTCTGGCTCAGGCTCATCCCTGTAGTTCCATGGTCTGGCTTCCTAATTTGCATCAGTGGAAACCACATTTGTGTTTGATGGGCCCCATGTCTGCCCTCTGTCCCTGGCCTCAATTCCTCATCTACCTGGGCTCCCCTTGTCCATCTAAAGCCCTGAGTGGCCTCCTCAAGCTTCAGAAAGGGGCAGTGATAGGGACAGCCTATATTATACAGCAGGACAGGCACCGATGGAACAGCCAGCGCTCACCCTCCAATCACCGTTTTTCCTGGCACAGAGCTCCAGCAGCCGGAAAACTTTAGCAGGGGAGGGAAGCCATCGTGCCCTTGGCCTCAACTCCAGTAGAACGTGTTTTGTACATGTCAGGTGGCCCTTACATGCCACAGGTGCTCACTGCCTTCTGGAAGTTCTTAGTTGGTGGCTCACAAATATTCACTTGTGTTGGAATAGACAGAGGACATACAGTGAATCACAGAGTCCTAGACCCCTCTCCCAGGGGGACTAAACATGTAGGTCTCAGTGACCGGTCTGAGCATAGGTGTGGCAGTGAATCCAGGTGGCTGTGAAACAGGCAGGGTGCAGATCACTCATTGAAGCATGTTACTCTAGTTTATTTTTCCAGAAGGCATCGCCCCCCATACCCAAAAAGGTCACAGCCTTTGAAAAAAGGTCAGTCTGAATCCATGCAGCTCCAGATAGCTTCGTCATTCTATGGCCCTCAGAGACTGCTAGTTTCTTTTTATTTCCAGCCCACGAAAGCTATAATCTAAGATGCCCCTCTAATCTGCATGTCTGGTCATGTGCATTTGTTGTGGTAGGGGATTCTTGGCAGTGCCTGGCTTAATGAAATGCAGGAGTTTTATGGGCATGATGTGATCAGAGGCAGAGACGCATTGTTGCCCCGTGAACAAATTGAAAGGTGATGGCTGTTTGTCCTCTGTGCATGCCACAGCCGTAATTTGCAGACCTGCCCCATGAAAAGTGGTTTGCTTTCGGGGATGAAGCAATACTGCAGAGGCAGTTTACACAGGTAGCTGAATCAATTAAGAAGCATCTATGTGGGTGTCCACTGCCAATCTTACCCCTCCGCAGAACTTTCCTTCCATTCATCTGTACTCTAACACACCGAGAATAGCCTCAAAGGACAGTGAAAAACCTTAACCAGGTTTTTTTGTTTTTCTGTTGAGAGACTGAAGTTACTTGACAAAGACAGTAGGGGGCAGTGGTGAGTCTCCAGACACAAACCTGGCTGCTGGAGGACCTGCTTCCTTTTATTTTTTGCCTCAGGAATTCTCCAGCTGAAGGTCATCACCTGTGGTGGGAGGTGCATTGCCGGGTGTTTGGAGAAGGGCATCAAGGCTCTTCCACCTTCTGTCTGTCCATCCAGTGCCCTGCTGTGCAGTTGGTCCCCACACGTCACTCTTTTCACTTCCCCTGGGTCAGATTCCAGGTCGACTGGGGAATGCTGAAAATCCTTGAGACAAATGTACAGTATCAGTTTCACACTGAGGCTTCTTGAGGGACTCGTCCCAGGGTGGTAGGCAGTGGGGGAACTGTGACCCCTCCCGCCCCCACCCTGCGTCAGAGCCTGGCCCCTTCTCTTTTCCCTGAGCCTTACACACCTGCCCATTCCTGTTTTCACATATAAGCAAAACAGTTCAGGTTGGAAATACATGAACTCCCTTTAAACAAATGTTTTAAATTATTTTTATTATTAGAGAGTGAGTAGCTGCGTGTCACAGTGTGTGTGTGTGTGTGTGTGTGTGTGTGTGTGTGTGTGTAGGTCAGAAGACAACTTCCAGGAAC